CGAAATTTTATTAAAGGATAAGGTAAAGTTTTTTCGGTTTGGAATTTTGAAATCATAAAATCGTGACATAGGTAATCGGGAATAGTTGCTCCAGGCACGTGGGACCATCCCAATAGTACCAATAAAATGGGAAATTTGCAGCAGTTATCCGGCCGGTCTAGATATTTGCATGAATTTATTTTGAAGCCACAAAATTTGTTCTTGGCCAACTTCCCCGTTTACATACTTTGGCATTGTTTTCTTGTTTCTTTTTCCTTTCTTTCCCACAAAAAATGCCTAATTTTTTGCATTTTCTTTTCCGCTTTGCTTGAATTTTTATGATTTTAGAAGTTAGTCGACGATATTTCAATATGAATTTTTCATTTGCAGTCGTTTCTCGGTTCGTTCGAATGGGTTGCATTAGCTGTCGATGAAGCACATCGTCTGAAAAATCATGAGTCGTTGCTTTATCGTTCACTATTCGAATTTACAACCAGTCATCGATTGCTCATAACGGGGACACCACTGCAGAATTCACTGAAAGAACTGTGGGCTTTGCTCAGTTTCATTATGCCCGAAAAGTAAGTTCGCAAGTTGGATGTGTTTTTTTCGTTGTGTTATTGAAAAATTCCCATAAACAGATTGATACCGACTGGGAAACTGATGTGAAGCGCTGGCCGGTATCGTTATGTATATATTTTATTAGCTACAAATTTTCAAGAATTTTGCACTTTTCGCTTTAAAAAAAACATATTTTCTTAAGAAGATCAGAAAGGGAGAGTCATCTCTCTCAGGAACCTGCCTTCCTTGGATCCGCCTATGATGGGAATGGCAGTTTTTCGAGATGCGTTGATAACGCTGAGAACAAAGCAAGATCATCTGGCTGCGTTTTATCGGATGAACCTTTGAGGTTGTAGTAGCCATCAGTAGACTGACCATTAGGCGAGATGTGGCATTGTTTGAAAACGATGGACTGAATTGGTGAAACTAAGTATAAATTACAGTTGGTCGAAGTATCTCGAACAAAAATGCTTGTATTTGTTAGCATCGGAAAGTTTTACTTTTTTTTGGTCTCGTTTTTTTTTTTAAATGGTGCTGCTCTGAATGTCCGTAGATTTTTATTGCGAAGATTCGATTTTTAGAGGAGCTCAGTAGATTTATGCAAAAGTTTGCAATATATCTTGAAAATTTACAAGACAAAAGGAGTGCAGTTCACAAGGTGCCAGTTTTAGGTTCGATAGTTGGTTGGAATTCGAAGCGGAACATCGTGATTCCGACCATAAAGCAATTGCTTCATTGCACCGGAAGCTTCAGCCATTTTTGTTAAGACGCGTGAAAAAGGATGTTGAAAAATCGTTGCCAGCTAAGGTTCGATTTTTTCCATTGAAATAGAAGGGCGGAGAAATCCAAGTAAGGTCGCCGAAGGGGATGAATAATGGAGTAAGAGGATTGTAATTAGGTGTCATGTATAATAAGACATTTCATGATGCAGTCTATGTTTCATCGCTTAGCTGTATACACAGACCGAACAATGCATGCGGGTAGGAGTGGGAATCATCAGTACAGCCTCTTGCTACACGCCATGTATTGAAAGGAAATGTAATTAATTTGCAAGAAGGATAAGTGAAAGAGAAAGTGTAATAGCATGAAACTAATAAAAGTGATGGAGCAGATGGAAGAAGAGGAGACTAACGTATGAGACGGGAAGTAATTCCATGTAAATTATGAGGTAACGTTGAAATTGTCAGGAGGATTTTTGCGGCCGTTGGTTGGCCGAGACAAATCTTCTGAAGTAAAGACCTGTACAAACCATGGAAAATTTAGAACGGAGGAATTCCTAAGTTTTGTGGGTGGGAGGGTGGAATATCGATGTGCAGATGGACAGCAGCGCAGCCAGGCATTTTTGCAGTAAGTTGTTCCGGATACGCATATCATGCGGGCAAAAGAAATCTACATTTCGGTCACTGTGATTGTGCCTTGTTGGGCTGGAAAACCAAACCGTTTCTACATTTAGGTCGAGCAAATCCTTCGTGTTGATATGACAGCTCAGCAGAAACAATTTTATAAATGGATACTAACCAAGAATTACAAGGAGCTCTCGAAGGGTGTCAAAGGCTCAATCAATGGATTTGTGAATTTGGTAATGGAACTGAAAAAGTGCTGCAATCACGCATCACTTGTACGAACCTATGATCAGTGTGAAGAAGGCGCCGAAGCTCGATTGCAGGTCCCATTACAGCTTTTATCATCGAACTCAGCTTTTTTGAGGAGAGCAAATGCCACATAGTGATTTATGGCTTTTTGTTAGAAATGACGTAAAGAACAATTGCGTCACTGTGATGCAGTACCCCGGTCACTGGTTCAAACTTTGGACATCCTGCCCCGTTAAAGTTTTGCAGTCTTAGGGATCTCTAACACTGGGATATACTCCTCCTCGTCTCCGGCATTCAGAGTCACTCCATCTTACTATTTAACCCTGTTCTGAAGAGCCCCGCCCCACTTCCCCCTCGCTCCAGAGCCATGCCACCCTTTTTATATTGTTTTCGTTATCTTACTTTACATTGTAAAACTTTAGTTACTGTATATAATTAAAAAATTATAAAAGCATATAATTGTACATATATATAACTAGGTGTTCACACACACACACACACACACACATACATACATACATACTGAGGGCAAGCCACTAGTCCAACTTATTAACTTTTAGAGTGGCGAAAGTAGGACACGTAAAACATGAGATAAGAAGGAAGTGGGTGAGAGAGAAGATCAGCAAATGGATGAGATGTAACGGATGGGATGCATAAGCAAAACAATAGTTTTAGCCTGTCTGTTAATTAAACCTGGAATTTTGATGAAATAAGAATCATACTTGCCACCATTACATTGTCGGCAAATGTTGCATTGTTGAGCAAATACTACTTCTGATCCAAAGCTTTTTTGGGTTTCACAAAATATTTAAATTCGACTGTTTTTTCTTTGTTGGCCTACACTGCAACCAAATTACACATTCAGCCGTAAGGTACTTCTTTACCCCGTCTTGCTCCAACCTTTTAACGCTGTCAGTTGGATTATTTCAATTAGGATTTTAGTAGCATTCCAAATTTTCCAGTAGAAAGTTCGGCCATCCTCGTAAGCGTTGCACATGGCGATCAATAAATCCCATTTCCAGTCATCTGTTTTGTGTTGCAGCTTGTCCCGGTAAACATCCATTGCTTATTAGACATGGGGGGAGGGGG